ACTTTTGTTCTTCCCTTACTCTGTAGGTAGATTAAAAGCAAGTAAACAAATAAGGATAAAAAATAACTTTCCACCAGAGCCAGGAATGCTGTGAATCAGGTGAAGTTTTTAGTGTCTCTAGATTTCCTCTCAGTCATCAAATATTTTTGTGCTCTTTCTAGCTTCCAGTTCTGGGAAATACTGAATCAATCCATTCAAACAAAATGCTTCTAATGGAATAATTGATTCAATACTTTTCTCTCACAACTCTATAGACATAAAACTCTACTGAGTTCTAGCATTTTAAATTCCTTTGATATTTTCCTTTGATGATAAGCAATCTGCTTTTTATAATGCTCTCATCTGGAAGCATCCAGCACTTTTTCCATTTTATTTGAAGTACTAAAAATGTCAACAAGTATAGTCAACACTCATTATGTGAGGCCACTCAACATCTGTGATCACCCTCCCTATAAATATGTTGGGTAATGAGGCACAATGTGGATCCCACCTTCCCAAGCAAGACAGAAGCTAGAAATCCCCTCACCTTCCCACTTTCTTCAAGCCAAGGTTTCAGCACATAACTCAGGTTCCACCAGTCAGAAGCAACCTCAAGAGAATGGAAGCAGGAAGCAAGCATAATGGGGAAGGAGCTGCGCTCAGGAGAATCATCTTTTAATGAATGGGGCACTCACTCTGCAAGGTTCCTTGTGGGTGATGGTGGCAGAGCCCTGGACTGAAGCTGCTCAGCCCCAGAGAAAGCAAGGCGGTTGGCTATGTCTGACTGAGTAGATCATTCTCAATGCCTATGAGAGAGTTTGGGGCTATAGAATACTCTTTAATAAGAGTATTTATTACTGGCAAGAATAAATTCTTTAGTTTGCAACAAAAACCATGACCCATACATAAAGACAAGTTTAGGTCCAGATCTATTTTCATTAATTTTGCTTTCAATATGATGATTGAAGGCCTTCATCCTCTCTTAGAAATTTTCTCTATTTGTTGATAATTGCTTATCTGCTCTATGCTCTTCTTTGGAAACGTTCTATTTACACATACAAAATATGTGCATATGTAAATTTATATATAAATATGTAAACTTAATTATATATACATATTAATATATACATATAATAAAACTATATAGCAATACTAAATACATAGTATGTATATACTATATATAAATGTGTATAACTATATATGCATACCTGTACACTATAAATAATTAGGGAAACATATACAATTATGAATGCGCATGGTGTTCTCAACCTATCCTCTAATCTTTTATTCTTTCAGTTATCATTTTCATTTCTTTAGTATTTTCCATCAATTTCTTGGAAAATACTTCTATTTAAATTATCAGTCAAATAGCTGTACCTTGCCTCCACTGCAGTCATAAATTTGGAGATCCTATTAATCTCTTAGCCATCTTTCCTGATGCTGTATTGTTCCTCTTTCCAACTACTAATTTTATTTTCATAGGTATACACTGTATCAGTTAGGATAGGTTAGATTACACTGTAGTTAATAAACACATCCCAAATCTCCGTAAATTAAGATAACCAAGTTTATTTCTCATTCTAAAGCAGGTGAGAAGGGAGGTTTGTCTCCCTATGACCATTTCACAATTTCCAAGTCAGAAAAAGGGGAAAGCACTGACTCTTACATCATGTTCACACACATTCAATGACCAAATTAAGACCCATGAAGGTCTTCAACTTTGAAAACGGCAGCCAAGTGCAATCCTATTGTATTTCCTGAAGGTAGAAGGCCAAACATGTTGGGTAAAGAGCACTAATACTTCCACACCACAAAGTGTTCTTGCGACTCATCTTGCTATCATGAATAATAGATGTTCTAAGTGTTTCTTATGTTTTTAATATAAATCTCACTGCTTCGGTGAGGGCCCTTTACTTGGATACATCTGATTTGTCATCTTATCTGGACTGCTAAATTGAAATCATGTACTTCAAAACTTTCTATGTGCTTATTCTACAGAGAAAGATTATTATCCATTATTGAGAGTTGAAATGGGTCTGTTACAAATTTCTCAAGTTTCAAGTCCCTTGACGGTCCCATAAGATAAAGATTTTCCCCTTGATGGGTGGCCCCAGGCCCTCTCTTCTCTTCCAATCTCATCTCATCTGTACAGAATAATTGTTTTTTGCATTTGGGATGAGCAATTTTTTTCCTCATTAATAGATTATTTGGGTTATTTTATTGGGAATTAGCCAAGCAAAGGGAAATTAAATGAGTCTCCTCAAACCATATCTTGAACTATAAATTTCCTAAATTGCTGATTTTGAATGTCAGGTCAACCACTAATCCAGCTAATCAAGACATAACTAGGAAGTCATCTGTCCTTTCCCTCATACCCAATTGGTCACCAAATTTTGCCAATTTTGTCTCCTAAATATCTTGGAAAAGAACAGAGTTCTTGGTAGAAGAATTTATATCAAACTCAACTTATAACAATTTTGCATCTCCAGGGGAATTGCTATATGTTACATTAAATAGGCAAAATCTTAATAGCTAACAATTTTAATAAGGCTGAATTCAGAGGGAAATACCAAAAAGTATTCTTACTTCTTTCAGCAAACCACGTCCTAAATGTTCTTGATTATAATAAGAGGTTGGACAGAAAGCACTCAAGAAATAGTTGAATTTGACTGAATCAAAAAACAGAAAAGCTAAGTGAAAATATTTTTGGGGAGTGCCACTAAGTTAAGTAGAAGAATATGACCAGGCTGCTGTGGTCATACTTGCAATCAATACATATTGAGAGGTGCTGATTGGCTACAACTTATTGAGGAATGCAGAATGCAAAAAGTTAGAGAGAGGTTCTGAAAAAGAAATCATAAATATTCCTACATTGCCAAAGTATAACAAAAACTTTCCATTGGTTTCTAGAACTATGGTAACTAAGGAAAAGTTACAAGTAATATATTTAACAAGGACATGTTTTGTAATATCCTTATAATGGGTTTCCATTGGTAGACCTTGAATTTCTGAAACTGATTTAATATGTAGCAAAAGGCTTTATTCATGAAAGTATCTATTATGATTAAGATGAATTAGCCTGTAGAAACTTGCATTCCTATCTTTACAATTTTTTTTGTGACTAAAAGCATAGTGCTTTATTCATGAAGAACAAAAAGGTCCCCCTCATGCAGTATCTAACCTTGTCATGCAAATTAAGGTGTATTTAACAAATTATTTTTCCATTGAAGGTTCTTGCAAATTAGCAACAGTTTATTTTATAAATATAGCAATAGTCAATGGAATCCTGATATCTCCTTGTAGATATCAGCTTTAGGAATGTTAAATATTGATGTAGAGTAAGGGCATTCAAAAAGAAAACTCATAATACACTCTTTCCTTTTAAAGAGACTTTGAATTTCTTATTTAAAACAAAAAAATCCAAGTAGGAAGCCATTGAGTTACAGTTATCATAACAATCTCAAATTATAACTCCAAAGTAATCTATAAAATTTGCTTTAAATATTGGTTCCTGGGGGACAGGTAGAAATATCTATATATATAAAAGCCTAAGCGACCATTAAGACTGAAAGACCTGTGGACTGGCTGGTAGCTATGATGCACACTGACCACCAGGGGGCAGATGCTCAATGCAGGCGCTGCCCCTGGTGGTCAGTGCACTCCCACAGCCAACCTCCCATGGCTGGCCAACCTCCCACAGTCTCTCCCCCGCAACCTGCAGGCCCCGATCACTGGGCAGGCCAAGGGACCCCACCTGTGCACAAATTTGTGCACTGTTGTTATAAAAGGACAACACAAGGAATGCTTGTGATGATGAAAACAGTCTGTATTTTCTGTGGTAATGGCCACAAAAGCTATACATGTGATAAAAATGCATCAAACTAAACACACACACACACACACACACACACACACACACACACAGGTACAAGTAAAACTGGGAGATCATAATTAGACCAGTGGATTGTATCAATGTCAATATCTTGATTTTGATATTACAGGGTAGTTCTACACGGTACAGGGGACCTTTCTGTGTTATTTCTTATAACTGCATACACACCTACAATGATCTCAAAATAAAAAGTAAAAAATAGTTCTACTTTTTCTTGAAAGTTCATGTTTTAAAAACCATACAAATGTGAACCAATTCTCCTGTTATTTGTCTTCCCTTGTAAGAGTAATCTACATAATTAAAAACCTATTTCTAGATGTTATACATTGAGCCAATAATATAAATGTCACTTAGTGAAGCATTTAGATGATTTAATAGAGTGAAATTCAGGTAAGAGTATGGCAAAAGACGTATCCATATTTCTAATAGAAAAAAATATAACATTTTAAAAAACTGTATAAATTATGTCAGTTTCTTAAAAACATCCTACTTTAACCTAAACCCCACTAAAGGATGCATTGGTTTTTTATACTCAAAACAAAAATTGTTGACCTGCCTTTTAATTGTTTCACTATTATTCTAAAAGCCTTCCTAATCATTTTTCTGAATATAGAAGCATTAAAGGTTTAAAGATATACATACCTGACAGTTCTAATTATTGGACCATTTTGAGAATGTGAAAGGCCTTAAGTATATTTGTATTTTATAATCTTCTCCACACCAAACATAATCCAATGTAACCACATGGCACATTCAGTGCAATTAATAACAAAAACCCACAAATATTGAGATGCAGTTGACTAATAGACATATGTTTTGTTTAGGAGATAATTAGACAGTTATTAATTTCAACTGTGCAATTTTCTTTTTGTATTTTATGAGCAATAATTTTTGAAGGGAAGGGGAAAAGGGTCTCAATAATATTTAGAGAATCCTGAAAACTCGTATGTCCTACAAAATGTACACATAAACTAGAGTGAAAAAAAAATAGTCCTGATTTTAACATGGCTAAGCAGAATAATCCAATTTATGGATGTGGAATGAGGTAGTATGATGGGGAATTAGTAGAATTAACAGTGTTCACAAAGCCACTGTGCTGATCTTTTAAGGTACAGTAGCAGAAACTAACCTGAGCATGTGGGCAGCATTGAAGACCACATCAAACTCCGTGCTGTCCAGTTCTGCTGCTTTTTTTGCCATCTCGGCTGCTTCTAACAGGCGAGCTTCTTCCAGAAGAAATTGACCTGTAAAGTAGGAAAGCAGAAGAGCTCCAACTTAGAAAACAATAATCCTTTGAAATAAATAAAGCTGCTATAGGGAAAAGCATAAAAGCAGTGATTAAGGTGATATAAAGCTAAGAATTACATGCGCCGTATACATAAATGCTCATATGTACTCGTATTTAACAGGCCTTTCTTTGCATTGCAGGACATTGCAATGCATCTATCTTCTACATTAACAATTTTTTTCTTAAAATAAGATCCTGTATAGACTGTTGAAGCAAGAAATAAAATGAATAAAAGATACGTTACAAATAATAATATAAAAGACATACCATGTTATGTAAAAAATGTAAAAAGAAAACAATTTTTAAAGCCTAATGGGAAGAATATTATTTTCGTTCCAGTTTTACTAAGAAATAAATGACACATATCACTGTATAAGTTTAAGGCACACAGCTTGATGGTTTGATTGGTATCTTTGTGAAATGATTACCAAAGCTTTCTAATATAAAAGTGTTTGAGATTTAAGACATTGTATCAGTCCTGTTGCTGAATCTGCAGCTCGGGTGCAATATATTTCACTAAGCCACCAATCAACTGGTTTAAACATTCACCTGTAAATTCATTACATGAGATACAAAAGGAGTATAAAATTTAATTATTAGCTATAAATCTTTGAGCTCCTGGGCCGATAGTTCCTTTGTAGGAAAAAAAAAAGATATTTACCAATAGGAATTTAGTTGATTTTAATTATTGGTCCTTTAAAATAGCTTCTGTCTCTGATGCATATACACTAAAAGGGCTATGCATACTGAGATATATTTAAGTAACAGGAAAATTACTAAAAGAACATAGAAAGATCGCTTAGCTCTTAATTAGATTAACTGTTAATTAGATTCACTGACAAACGTGGAAGAAATATTAACTAATTCAGATTTTTAAGATTCCTTTCAGGCCAGCTCTACAAGGTTAAAATCATTGCAGGAGAGCCACACAAGTCTTTAAAGCTGTACCTCCAGAATTGTTACATAACGCTATCCCAGAATCACATAGTAAAAGCAAAGAAAAAAACATAAAAGTTGAGCTCAATTTTAAGAGTGTAACTATGCAAGTAGAGAGAATAGATGCTTCTTTAGAGCTAGGGCTTTATTAACAGTAAAAGTTATGAGTTAAGCCTCATCTGATACCGCTTTTAAAATGAAAACCAAATCAAGGGATGACAGAGATATGCAGAAACCATCGGACAGGCTTACAGAGTTGTGACCTAGTGATTATTTCTTTTTGTTTGGGGTTTCCTGTTAGCAATACAAAAATAGCTTTAGAAATGATTTTTAAGTCCTAAGCTACACACAGAAAACAGAAAAAATTAAACATGGTAAATCCTCCCAGGTGGCTGTTGGAAGAGGCATTAGCTACTGTTCATCTAATAAATATCACAAATCGTCTTCCAACCCATTGAGACCAGTCCTTAATATACCAGGAGACATTCCCTGCTTTCAGCAATAAACCACAGCCACCGCCTATCCTTAAGCATTTCTAATCTTCAATTGGTAAAGAATGGTAAGTAAAGATAAGCCTTGGATTTCAAGCCTGCACTCTTAAATAAACTGACAGCTCTAAAATCAGCACTTGGAGATGTATCAGCTACTTCTACAAAAAACTTTATATCACTTTCTTAGTTAGTCGCCTAACATTCTGTGCCTTTCTCATCTCCCAAAGTAAACATAATTGTTGGGTTAGATAATGATTGAGGAAACAGGGTTGTAAATAGTTACATTTATAAATAGAAAAACACATTACTCATAAAATTCATGTATGTGCTAACTCTACAAATATGTTGATGTGACATTCAATTTAAAGTGTACATGCTTTACAAAAAGTAAATCAAAAGTTAGACAATATGTAGCATACTGAATAATTACTGTCTCCTCATATATATGAGTAAAGGATACCAGGCTAAATAAACCCATTCTTCAGTTATGCTTATTATAGATTGTTTGAATTAAAATGTAATGTCTACCTGTCTTCAAAACATGTTTACCTAAAAAAGTATTAATATATTTATTAATTATGTGACACTTAAACAAAGAATGATGTCAGAATTTATTAATTGTTCTTTTTCCTTTTCAGTTATTAACTCTGAAATATATTTTGTTATTAATAGAAAGATGAAATGATTAACTGAATAATGTAAGTTTTCTTAAAATTCATCACTCCAGACAGTAGAGGGAAAGGAAGACATAATAGCCCAGATGAAAAAGAGAAAAAAGGACATGATATCTATACTGTCCACATAGAAAGGGTCAGTGACAAGATGTCTGTGTGCTATAATAATGACAGTGGCATAAGAGATGAGTTTAAATGCAATGCCATGCTCCAGAGCAAAACTCTTCTTTTTTTAAGATATTTTTAGAGATAGAGGAAGGGAGAGAGAGAGACAAACATCTAAACATGGATTGGCTATCTCCTGCACATGCCCTACTGGGGATAGAGCCCACATCCCAGGCATGTGCCCTGACTAGAATCCAACCTGCAACCTTTCAGTGCATGGATGACACCCAAGCCACACTGAGTGACATCAGCAGGGACCAGGGCAAAGCTTTTTCAATGTTAATGTTAAACACATCTGTAACGATTCAAAATCACGAACAAAAGAGGAACATTAACTAATTGTGTAAAATCAAATATACAATTTTATCATAATTTTTACTTATGCTTTAAGTTAGCTTTGCCATTGAACATGCTTTCTGTAAACAGTTTGCAAATTTTCAAAACAACATGAAACACATACTTTTTTATTGTAAATGGTGACAGAAATAATTCTCCTATAGTAATTTTACAACAGTAGAATGCATTCATCATATTAACATTCAGAAAAACAATATCACAACATATCAGTTAGGTATTTGCATAATTCCCCCCATTCTGTTCTTGACAGGCTATAAATCTCAATAGTCCAGCGTTGATATTATTATGATAAAGGCATAAAGTACTATGAAGTGTAAATCATTTGGTATCTGTTTTGTAACTGAGTTTGAAAACATGAGCTGAAGTAGAAAGTAAATTCTTATTCTTCTATGTTTATAATGATTGTTTTGATTTGTTTTTTAAATATAGCCCAGAACTGATGACAGAGCAATAAGCATTTCAAATCCATAGAACGAACATAAATCGGTAAACAAATATATACCAAGTTCCTTCTTAATAACTATCCAAAAACCTAAATTGGTATGTTATTATGGGAATAATAGGAAACACAATTTGCCCTACTCCTTCCAGAAGACTTTATCTCAAATCACTCTTCCTCAACCAACTTCATTTATTACTAGAGGCCCAGTGCATGAAATTAATGCAAGAGTAAGCCTTCCTTCTCTGGCTGCCGGCACCAGCTTCCCTCTGGCACCCAGGACCCAGGCTTACCTGTGGCTGCCAGCAGGCACCCGGGACCTGGGCTTCCCTTGCAGCTCCGGCTTCGTCTAGAAGGACATCTGGTCTAATTAGCATATTACGCTTTTATTATTATAGACTAGAGGTCCGGTGCACGAAATTCATGCATGGGGAGGGTGTGTGTCCCTCAGCCCAGCCTGCACCCTCTCCAATCTGGGACCCCTCGAGGGATGTACGACTGCCCGATCCCAGTGGATCGGGCCTAAACGGGCAGTCGGACATCCCTCTCATAATCCAGGACTGCTGGCTCCCAACTGCTCACCTGCCTGTCTACCTGATTGCCCATACCCGCTTCTGCCTGACAGCCTGATCACCACCTAACCACTCCCCTGCCAGCCTGATTGACACCTAACTGCTCCCCTGCCGGCCCAATTGCCCCTAACTGTCCTCCCCAGCAGGCCTGGTCACCTCCAATTGCCCTTCCCTGCAGGCCTGGTCCCCCCCAACTGCCCTCCCCTGCAGGCCTGGTCCTCCCCAACTGCCCTCCCCTGCAGGCCTGTTCCCCCCCAAATGCCCTTCCCTACAGGCCTGGTCCCTCCCAACTGCCCTCCCCTGCTGGCCTGATCGCCCACAACTGCCCTCCCCTGCCAGCCATCTTGTGGTGGCCATCTTGTGTCCACATGGGGGCGGACATCTTGTTTGAGGGTGTGATGGTCAATTTGCATATTACCTCTTTATTATATAGGATTGCTCCCACCAGAAATAGGCTGTGAAATACTTAAGCTTTGCTGAGTGTAACGTGCAGCTATACAGCCTTATTTATCCTGAACTCTCAGCCTCTAAGATTTCTCTCCACCTACATCTCTAATCCTGTTTGCCTATCTATTGTAAATGGTCATCTTTCATTTTTATGCCCAAAACATGTCCTACTTGGTAAATCCTTCTTTGACCACTTTTCAATACTGTCAGAATAACTTATGATTTTAATTTACCATCTAAACCAAAGCACTTAAAAGAATAGGAGGGAGTGGTATTATTATGCTGGAACAAGGACCATAAACCAGATTGTCCCAATTGTCCCAATACGGCCATCCCACTTATAGTACCTGTGGCAGAAAGGGGATCTCAATTCTCTCATTTTTTATTGCTCTTGGAAATTGAGCCATTTTACACAATAAGGCATTGTCTCCTCAAAACAAAAAGTGATCAATATTAGTAAGAGAGAAATAGGTGCTCGTCACTGAAGAATACAAAGATTGAGCCAGGGCTCCAGTATGGCTACAAATGGAGTCAGGACTCTATGGAGAGTGAAGAGGGTTGGAAAAGAAAGCAAGAGAACTTGAAGGCAGGCACTTAGGGGAGTCCATCCACATGGGTGGATTCTGCAATGTCACCTTTCCCTGTGGTTCTCAAGCTTTAGTGACCATCACAATCGCCTGGGAGACTGGCTAAAACACGGAGCTGGGCCCTGTCTACACAGATCCAGACTCAGTGGGTTTGGGAGAAAGCCTATCATTTGCATTTTTAACAAGTTCCAAGCTGACATTACTAGTCCAGCGCTCATAATCTTAAAACCTCTTAGGAAAACAACAAAATAAATGCTTTGCACCAGACTCTGGACTCCATGTCTGAGG